TTTTTTTTTTTGCTAATAAAAGTGAAACATCAGTTTCAAAAGATGTTATGCTATCCAACTCTTGTTTTAACCCGTACACAATCAAGTACACGTAAGATGAACGTTAAGCCAAAAGTGCTAGTAGACTTGGCGCCAGCCTGTACTAAATCACATATATACACACCCCTTTTTTCTATGTCAACATTGTATATATGTATATGATTATTACATTTTGTATTACATTTATTATCTTTATAATATGACCGTTAATATAAATATAATATGATTAATATATTTATGGGAGTTGCTACGGTCTCGTTACACAACTATTCCTTCGAGACTTGTAACCGTAAGATCAGTTATTCCCGATAATTATATGATGATCTAACGGTTATAAATCCCAACGAAATGGACCGTAGGAATTTCTATATGTTTTCATTGAGTGCCTAAAAATATCTTAAATGAATAATTGACTTTGTATGGGAGGCTGCTGTACTAAGACAACTCAGGCTGTTGTACTAAGACCACTCCACTAACAAAGAGAATAGACTTTTTCTTTTTTCCACATCCCATGCATCAACTTATAAATACCTATGCTGATCATTTCTCAAAGTTCACCATAAAAATATCTCATCTATCATTTTTCTCTCATACCATTTTTCTATAAATATTCCACATATATACAAGCTTCACATATAAAAATACACACACACACACACACAGTCTTATTATATTTCAATTAATCAACAAACAAGAACCATGAGGTCCCTTAAGTTCACAGCAACTCTACTCTTGCTACTCACAATAACAAACTCCCTATTCATCTCCCTCGCAGCCGCAGAACCTTCCGGAAGTGATCCAACGAACGAAGATTTTCCTTCCGTGGGGCACAGAATATCCCTCCGTGGGGCCATCCATTTTCTCCCGCGCGTCCCGTTGGCAAGGTGCGACAGAAATCCTAGGATTTGCAGCCGTGCGCGCGGCAAACGAGATTGTTGCAAGAAGCGATGCGTAGACCTCACAGAAGACAGGTTGAACTGCGGGAGATGCGGTCACAAATGCAATTTCTCAAAGATTTGTTGCCGAGGGAAATGCGTGAACCCGTTGAGGAATATAAGGCACTGTGGGGGGTGCGGTAACGCGTGCAGGAGAGGGAGTAAGTGCGTGTATGGAATGTGTAGCTACGCTTGAAACTTAACGATATTTTTTGTAATTGGTTGCAGAGTTTAGTTAATTAGCCAGCTATGGATTATTATTTCATTCTTAGTTCTTATGAGGTAGTGTGGATGTAGCGCAAGATGAAATTTAATGTCATTTATATGTTTGTTTTTTGGGGCACCCCCTGAGATTTAATGGTTATATATAGTACATATAGCAAACCCCAAGATAAGCATAAAAGCTACATCTTATGTAGTTTTCACCACTTGACATTTATAAATATCTTTCAAAAATGCCATTCTTATATTGGTCCCTCTGAAAATATGATTAAGTAGACCTGATTATGCTAGACATTTCTGTATTATAGTACCAAACCTGATCATGGCAGTTTTCGTACCAAACTTCGTGCTACAGATGCCATTATAGGTGTACGTGCTAAAGACAATAATGCTAAGGAGCCAATTGTTGGCTCCGTTACGGAGCCAACGACCAATTATACAGCTCCATGTGAGACTGTCCCACATGACTCTAATGTGGGACTGTCCCACATGACTCTAATGTGGGACAGCCCCACATGGAGCTGTCCCATTGGTTGTTGGCTCCGTTAGGGCGCCAACAGTTGGTTCCCTAGCATTACTAGTGCTCAATAATTAATCTCTATTTTTTTTTTCAGAACGATAGAAATTTTATAAAATTAAAAACTACATAATTACAACCAGAAACCATATAGAATAGCCAAACATCTGAATCTATATGAGCACTAAATAGAGTTAGTCTAGAACAACTAACACTAATGCATCTATAGCACAACAAATTATACAGCTCCCAACAGAAGAATAACACGTTCCGAGAAAAACACGCTCCCTAACCGGAAGAAAGTGGACAAATAGGATTGATTCGCTTGAATTTTATTGATCTAATTTCCTTGTAATTATTTTTCATTACTAAAAAAAATTCCAAGTCAAATACTTCCTCTAAAGTCTCCAATTTCAGAGTCAAATAGCCTCCACCTCGTGCGATCACGTCTAATTACCTAACAAGAATCTTAGAAAAATGAGGCCAATAAAACATTAAAAAAAAAAAGCACTTTCGAAATTAATCGTGGATGTCACACTTTTATTAAAATAAAAATCACTTAAAACGCATATAAATTGTCAATTAAATAGCCACTCTTCTCACCGCAAGTCCCCACTAAAATTCACCAAACATGGCCTTCACAGCCCCTCTCACACTAACTCTTAATCTAATTCTAGTAACTTTATCAACAACATCATGTGATCCTTACTATAATTACAACAAAATCCTGAACCCAATAGACTCTTGCTGGAGGGCCAAATCTAATAATTGGGCCACAAATCGTCGTGCATTAGCCGATTGTTCGGTTGGGTTCGGTAAAAATGCCATCGGAGGGAAATTCGGAGCCACTTATTTCGTGACAGACCCGTCAGACGACCCGACAAACCCAAAACCCGGCACCCTGAGATACGGCGTGATCCAACCGAATCCACTTTGGATCGTTTTCGCGAGAAGCATGGTCATCACGCCGAAAAACGAGCTCATGATAAGTAGTTACAAGACGATCGACGGGAGAGGGGCGAAAGTGGAAATCGCTTACGGGCCTTGCATCACGATACAACATGCTAGCCACGTGATCATACACGGGATTAGCATTCACGATTGTAGGCCCGGGAAATCGGGCCTCGTCCGGGACAGCTCAATCCACGTGGGCCATAGGCGGGGCTCGGATGGTGATGGTATCGATATATTCGCCTCGACTGATATATGGATCGACCATTGCTACCTTTCGCGTTGCTATGACGGGCTTATCGACGTGATTCATGCTTCTACGGACATCACCATATCCAACAATTACTTCACACAACATGATAAAGTAAGTACTTTAGTTGATTATTGTTACTTGGTTTATTAAGCAAATATTTACTAGTGATAATTTGAAAAATTAATGTGTTGTAAATGGCAGGTTATGTTGGTGGGACATGATGATCAGAATTATGAGGACAAAGCAATCAAAGTCACCGTGGCTTTCAACCGTTTTGGACCCGGTTTAATCCAAAGAATGCCAAGGTCCGTAAAAATCAGAATTACTATAACGTAATGTGTAGTAAAAAAAAAATTGTAAAATTAATAGTGTAATTTTATTTTGGAGCAGAGTTAGACTAGGTTATGCGCACGTGGCAAACAACAGATACGACACGTGGGGGATGTACGCCATTGGCGGGAGTGCTTACCCGACCATATTCAGCGAAGGAAATTACTTCATGGCCCCTTACAGTCCATATATAAAACAAGTAATAATTAAGTCGCATTATTATCAATAAAACCTACAAATATTATAAGGAAATGCTACCGTCCCGTTATGGAACCATTGCGTTGGGATTTGACCGTTAGATCATCATGTAACCGTCGTGGATAGTTGATCTAACGGTTACAAATCTCGACGGAATGATTCCGTAACGGGACCGTAAAATCTCCGAATATCATATATGTGTCAAAATCACGTGACTTTTATAAAGAAATTTTTAACTTGGATCGGTATTTGATCAAAACAGGTGACAAAGAGGGAGAACAAGAAGAACGGGTGGACAAACTGGAAATGGAGGTCATATCGGGACAGGTTCATGAACGGGGCTTATTTTGTGCCATCTGGATATGGGAGCATTGCACCGAGCTACACCAGAGCGCAATTTTTCAAAGTGGCCGATGGGTCCATGGTACCCGCACTAACATCTGATGCCGGCCCGTTGAATTGCTATCCGGGAAGAGCCTGTTGATTGATTTTTTATTTTTTTTTCTGTATATAATTGCTGTGAAATCACAGTTGACTCCATAGTAGAGTCAATTTCATGGTCGATCTTGACCCAGGGTGACATGGACAACTGCTTAGGGCCCATGTCGGGGCCCAATTCAAAAAGGAGCTTCAATTTTAATGTTTAAGGCAAGGGCCCAATTCAAAACGGGGCCTCAATTTTAATGTTTAATATACTTAATTTGTAAGTCTAATACCTGCAATTAATTCAAAACATATGAGGGTCCAATTCAAAAAGGGATTTTCATTATTTAATGTGTAACATGTATAATTTGTAGGTCTAATACAAACAATTAGCTCAATTTCATATTCCATGTACTAAATGCTTATTGTATAAAGCCACTAAAATAATAGAAATATTGCATGCTTTTCCACAAATATTAGTTAATCTTATTCTATTGTTTTACACAAAGTATTTTACACAACTTTAGTGAAATTCAAAATAAAAAAACAACCATGAAATTCAATTCATGCACTCTTTATTAGTTAATCTTATTCTATTGTTTTTTATTGGCTTACGTGTTATAATCTCTTTTTATTCCAATTAAATAATATCTCATCAATTTAGAAAAGTATTCCGTTCGGTAATAAAGTCTAAAATAACGTGTGTTGTAATTCAATAAAATGCAATAAAATAATAAGAGACTTAAATTTCTCCACCAAGTTATAAGGATTTAAATAAGTGAAATATTATACTTATACATAATTATATAATTTTTATGTAAAATAATGATGTTCATATTTATGATGAGGTCCATTTAATTTTTTTATTAACCTCTTGCAACTAAATAACCTTAGTTTGGTAAGATAGTTATTATGTAAAAAAATCATGTTTTTCTAATAGAAGTTATATCATGCATTCATTTCAAAATCACGCTTCATCTTTAAATTATATAAAATTATATAATTAACTCCATAACTCGAAACAACGTATTTATTAAATCTTATTACGACTTGAGATCTATATATGTTTTATAATTGTGAACGAAAAAAAAGGCATTAATTTTCATATTTTGCTCAGGGCCCAACAAAGGCCAGGACCGACTCTGGTCAACCTTCTGTATAAAACAAGTAAAATGTATCAGATTAATAAAAATATTAGTATTATTTATGTAATCAGAGTATTATTTATGCACTTAGGTGTGTTGGTTTATTATAAGTTGAGATAATTTTATTGTATAGGTAGTTAAAATAAATAAAAAATAAGGTATTTAATATTGATTCCTAGGCTCCGACTAGGTGCTCTAGGCGCTAGTTGTTGGACGAGCTGATCACATTTCAGCATTCGTAAAGCTTCCGTCTATAGAGTTTCTTACGTGTTAATATGGGTTTTTATATATTTTTAGCCATATAGCTTTTCCAAAACATGAAAAATAGTCACATCTTGTGAAATTATAATTATAAATAGGAAAATGTTACGGTCTTGTTACACAATCATTCTATCGGGGATTGTAACCGTTAGATCAACTATCTCTGACGGTTACATGATAATCTAACGGTTGCAAATTTCGACGGAATAGTTTCATAACGGGAATGTAGTATCTCCCTTATAAATAATAATCATTTTAACACATGTAGAAGGACAAAAGTACCCTCACTGTCACTTTTTCACCACGAGCCGTCATCTACTATCCTCTGCCGCCTCACTTGTGTGGAGTTTTTGGGCTTGTGCTCCTCACCCCGTTCACTACTCACTACTCACTAATCACTCTCAAAAGTCAAAAGTCAAACCCCTCGATTTCATGGTCCTTTAAAACCCTTCTTCCCAAAAGGTTGTTTTGCTCTTCCCCATTTCTCCCCCAAGATGCAAATCGCAAGCATAATCGAGAGATCAAAAGCACGATTTTTGGCCTCCGCATACGGAAAATTTTCCTTGTATTCGGAATCCCTTCGCAACCCTAAACCCCTTCATCTAATTTCTCCGTCTACATCACCGCCGACCGTCGGCAGCTCACTCCGGCTAGCTTCGGGTCTCGTCCGGGCCTACCACGACGGCAGGCCCAGGGGACCTCTTTGGAGGGGCAAGAAACAGATCGGAAAAGAGGCCCTTTTCGTCATACAAGGCCTCAAGCGCTTCAAAGACGACGACGAGAAGATAGGTAAGTTCATCAAAACGCACGTGCTCAGGCTTCTCAAGATGGACATGGTTGCCGTTCTTGTAGAGCTCGAGCGCCAAGAGGAGGTTTCCCTTGCTGTCAAGGTGATTTTTGTTCTCCTTGTACTTTGTGCATCGCCGTTTGTACCTTGTTTGCGGGTTTCCCTTTTGCTCGTTCGTGGTTGTACATAGCTACATAAATGACTGTTCTTTCTGTTTGAAATGGCTTTGATTGACACTGTCAATCTAATTATGAATGGTTGCACAGCCAATTGTTTTGTGGGTGTTTTGTTTATGCACTATACTTGATTGGTATTCAATTTTCCCTATTTAAAGATAATGTAAACTGAATAAAGATGGAGTAGTGTTGCATATTTGTTGCAGTTCATGGAGTTTGTATATTTGAGTTATCTATTGTCCACATATTAATTGAATTGTTTATAGGCGTCTATTTTTCTCCTAAAGTGGATGGTATAGAAATTTCTTGATATTTTTCAGATGTTTAGGGTGATCCAGAAACAAGACTGGTACAGCCCGGATGTGTATCTGTACAAGGATTTAATTGTTTCCTTGGCCAGAAGGAAGAAGATGGATGATGTCATGAAACTATGGGAAGATATGCGAAAGGAAGGTTTATTCCCAGACTCTCAGACGTATACAGAAGTCATCCGTGGTTTTCTGCAGAATGGTTCTCCTGCTGATGCCATGAACGTTTTTGAGGATATGAAGAAATCTCCAGATCCTCCTGAGCAGTTGCCGTTTAGGATATTACTGAAGGGGCTTTTGCCTCATCCGTTGTTGAGGAACAAGGTCAAGCAAGATTTCGAGGAGATCTTTCCCGACCAGCGTGTTTATGATCCTCCTGAGGAGATTTTCGGATTGCGATGAAGCTTGTGCTTTCTTACGTGTTGGTATGTGTTTTTAATTATCGTGGCTTCTTTTGTTTTCCTGAATTATACATGCTTTAGTACTTGGGGCTTTTAATCATGAACTTTATTCATTTGTCCTATTAATGCTAAGAGGCTATAAGTTGTCAGTGTCGTTTTGTATTCATTAAATTTGATGATACATGATAGATCAAGTTTGTTGAAGTGCTGTTTTTATTATAATGTTGCACTGATTTGTTTGAATTAATTTTTGGATGATTTATTAAACTCCAAATCACCGGTGAGAGTTTCCTGAAGTTCTATTCCAATTTTCCGGATAACCAACTCGGCCTTCTTCTTAAGTAGTTCCTGCCAAACACCAGTTTTAAACCAACCCAACTGTTTTCTGAAGTAGTACTTACCAAACACCGGTTCTAAATCTTGAAAAAGTTGCATTATTTTGTCTCACCATTCGGGATGTCTTCTCACTTGATTCAGCACTTCACATGTGGACCGGTTATCTCAAACTGAATTAAAAAATAAGCTAGAGTGAAGATGATTAGACTAAGGCTACGTTTGGTAACCTAGTAAGCTAGCTTGTAGCTTATTTGGTTAACTTATAAACTTCCTATATTCATTCAAATAAGTTTCGTTTGGTTGGAGGAACTTTTATAAAAAGCTTGGCCTTATTTCATAAGCTTTTTTGGGTAGCTTTTCAAATAATCTCGTTGAAATTTTTATCTCAACTAGTTTATCAGCTAATTTTAACAAACACTTTTATCGAATAAGCTAGCTTTTCGGCTATCTATTATCTATTATTTGAAAAAACAACCAAAAGACCCTGAAATAGCAATTAAAAAATAATTAGGACCCGCCTAAATATTACAAAACATAGTAATGTTTTTTGAAAATTTGGAAATATCCCGCTTAAATGTATTTTGAAGATTTTTGGAAAATATTTAAATTTAAACATTTGAAGGAAATGATTCCACACAAATTTATTTGGATACATTCTATCTTATCTGAACTTCCATATAATCGCATTTCTAATACACACGTTTCCATCTTATCTTAATTTACACACAGATATATATATATATATATATATATATATATAATTTTTTTTAATTATTATGTGATAGGATAAATTCTAAAAATTAAATAGATTGCATATATGACACAATATTTATTTTAAATTTGTTTGCTATTTTTAAATTAAGTACATCAACAAGAATATTTAATGATGTGCATTAAATATCTTTATATATGAAAAAATGAATAAAATAAAAAAGAATATTGCTTTTGTAGGTGTTATAAATAATAATAATAATAATAATGATTATACGATAATATATTTTAGAATAAAATAATATTTGAGTATTATGATGACAAAAAATAAATAAAATTATTATTTTTTATGAACACATAAATATATGTGTTAAAAAATTATTTACATTAATATAAACGAGTCAACAGGCTAATAGATTGTTAAAAGTAAAATTTTAAAAAAGGTTTTAAGTTGCAAATCCGTCCGTGCATCACACGGAATGCTTACTAGTAAGTCATAGGCTATAAGCTATAAGTTCGAAAATCACTTATAAGCTATAAGCTAGCTTATCAGCTAGTTTTACCAAAACATAGCCTAATATATGTGCATCTCACAAGATCAGTCCCTTCGGATAAAATACTAAGAAATATAAGAAGATTTTCCGAACACTTAGGAGGAAAATTTAACACAAGAATCCTTTTTCTTATTTTGTATGTTTTCCTTCCGTCTTTGCTCAGATGTTGGATGCGTGATTTTCTGCACACTGAGTGCCAATGGTATATGATTTCAGGATACGCTTTATGCAGTGCTATCTATATCTTTTGGAGAAGCTGGACTCACGTAAAGTCGAGAAATTAAAAGGGCTGGACTTGAAGATGCTAGAGATCTTTCATGGTCTTTAATGAGGAGAAATTCTTGAGGTATAATTCCTTGTTGAATTGGCAAATCTAAAAAATGTTGCTCTTTAGTGTCCTTTATTTGTGAAAGAGACCAAGTGCAACAATGTGGATAATCTAATGTATTTTCCTCATATAATATAGAGCCAGACAGTGCAACTTGTGTTAAATTTACGTTGTGTGATAAACTGTCTAGTTACCAAATTCGGCTAAAAGTAGTACTTCAAGACCTTGATCAAATTATCTGAAAAACAAGTTAAGCTTACAAAAAAACAAGTTAGAACATGTGGATTTCTAAATATTGAGGCATCCAATTCATCCTAATGGTTAAGTTTGTTCGCGTATCATTTATGTATATACAAATCTATACATAGCACGGGAATAGCCAGCATTAGGGATCATGGGGCGGGGGCAGAGTGCAATTCTCAGAAACACACAGTGTGGATAGTTGACAACTATCATGCAACACCATAGACCTGCACAATGGGCAGGTAAATTGGCACCTCTTGTGCCATTTTTCCATACACCCCTAGTGAAATATATGCCCGCATCTCGGTAATTTCTTCACCAAGTCTTCTTTCTCAACCACCGTCAAGCAAATTGAGCACACTTCCTCATTTTCATCATCTCCATTGCTTTCCCCTCTGTTGTTTATGCTGAACTCCTCCAAATCTTGAAAACACGAAACTTGAAGATTCAGCTCTTGGGCCGGGGCCGCTTCTTGTTCTTGAAAATGTATGTTTTCTAGGTGATGGTGGTTTGGGTTATTGATAAAGAAGGTGACGATTGTGAGTATTGATTGAGCTATTTGGATGAATGGGATCCATATGCATGTGTAGAGGATCAAGGTTAATGTGCACAAATGTGATTTTGCATATATGCAGATCATATTTTTTTTTTTTTTTTT